AGCACTCACAACATGTCCTAGAGGCCTCTAGGCATCACTGAAAACTCATTATTATCCGTTCCTCTTAAAGAGGACTGTAGAGACCTGTTGGCTCTCAAGGTTTCCACATCTTTTATGGCATCCTGTTCTGTCATGGCAGGAAACAAAGCAAAGCTATGGACAACTATGATGTAGGCATAATGGCTTCAATAGTATGCCATTCCAGTTAATTGAAAAGAGGTATAATAGAATTAATTTCCTTTTGAATAGTTGGTATAGTAACAAAGCCCACTTTGATAATGTCTGGTTGAATATCTATCCCAAAGAGTTCATTAGGAACTATGTAAAAATGAATTACCTTCTACTAAAAAATTATATATGAACTTATCAATGTAAAGAGGCACACAGAAATTCCATTTTAATATGCTTTTGACAATCAAGAGTTTGGCAACTTACAATAGATAATTTTTAAAAACAATTATTTATATTGATTGTGGAAATGTGTTGGCTTTCCTATCTGAAGAGGATTATACTGATCCATTATCAGCAAGACACACATTTGTAAGGTATTCTCTTCTGAACAAAGACTGGCATATTCCTTTCCTTCTTCCCTATCCATGCATCATCAACTACACACAAATACACAAACTTCACAGAAAAGTAAGTTACAGTATTAGTCAAAATATTAGTTTAAAAGGATTAGAATTCATTGTCTGGATGTTTTGCTTATTGTCTTAAATCTCATGATTCAATATTTGAACTGTTTAAATGACCTCTTTAGGGCAAAAAAAACCTCCAAAGTAGCTCTACTATAAAATATTTTACTGAATTATGGTATGCAAACAATTTAGCACCAACATGATTGAAAATCAGTAATCAATATGGAAATTGTTTTGATATTATTGTCTTTGGAATTAGAATACCTCTAGTGGAGACTGCATTGTGTCTGCTATAGGCAAATACTAATAGGAAGAACTGAGCTTAACAAACATTTAGACTCAATACAAAGTCTAAAGACAAATAAAGTCTTAAAGCCTAAGAATTTAGGAAAAATTTCATTTCCATGAGAAAATGGAATTGTTACTGATATAAAGCCATGCAGAAACTAAGGCACTACTAAAATTTGACAATTAAATTGATTTTCAATAACATTTAATCAATCTTAAAATTAAAATAAATGAAAATTACTTTTATATAGTAAAGGCCAAATTTCATGTGATAAGAGTCCTGGATAGAGGGGGAGAAAAATGGAGAATGCAATTAAAAAAAAAAAAATAACAGGCTTACTTGCCTGAGAGAGATTAGTGTGCAAGCCTGATACTGTGGTCCTTGATCATCCTTAAAGGCTAGAATGGAATTCACCTTCATGGCTCAACTTTAAGCCAAACACTAGAAAAGCCTACAATGTGAACAGTAAGACCAGGAGGTAAAATTACTTAGAACATTCAACCATACCAGATCTAAAGAGCAACATCTGCTCAGGGATAAAATTCAGAGGGCAGGAAGGGATAGGGATAGACAGGCCAGGTGTAGGAAGAGTACTATTTCAATGTGGGGACTGTAATTAATGTCATTAAAAAAATGGTTATAAATGGTTGAATAGAAAAACATTTGCTCTGTACTTTCACTCAGATAAAAATAAAAAGCTAAAACATTTTCTTCTTAGCATACATATCACTGTTGGCAGAGTTCAATTACTAACAAATATTCTAGATATCTTAACAACACAAACATAAAAAGTCTTTAAAATAAACAACTGAAAAAGCACTCTGTTATGGAAAAAAATACTCCTTATCACAGGTACTGGTTTCAGCAGTTTGTAAGAGGGCTTCCCTTCAATCCTTGTTATTAATGACATTTATGTTTCTAACAGTCAGAGATTGCCTCAAATTGCTTTTCTTCTCACTTCACTAAAAAAAAAAAGTAATGACATTTTTAAGATAGCAGTGATGAACTTTCATATCTAAAAATAAATACTTGTGTCTTCTCTTACCTGACACAATTAAGACAAAATTACTCAAAAAGCAAATGACCACCTAACTCTTTTAAAAATGTGGATTTAAAAAGTCACTTACTTTTTTAATGGATAAGTTACTTACTAGATTACACAAGGTGAGCTATAAAAATCCTAGATACAAACCATTAGAACAAAACTCAATGGGATTAAGAAATTTACACCTGGAAAATACTTTATCTTGGCTTTTGCATTCAAGATTCATCATCCTTTTAAACCATTTACATTTGGTTTTTATTTTCCTCATATGATTTCACATAATCAAACAGTATTTCACAAAGCACAGAAACTAAATCTTAGAAATACTGCAGACCAGACCTGACAGAAGTGGAGTAGCAGAAAGCTACTCTAAAGAAATAAATTAACTTTTTATGTATTTTCTAGATAAAGTAAAAACTCTCTCAAAGCAAAGTCAATCAATTTAGTATCACATCACATTTTTACTTTTTCCTGTATAATTCAACATGTGTATTAGTAACAAAGGTTGGTTATGCCTCTTAACATTTTTTAAAGCCAATAGTCTTTAACCATTTTTTAAAGTTAGTTACAGCCTTGTTTAAGGCTATTAACAAAGAACCATGTTGAAAATGTCAAGATTGTAATGCTGAAATTTTAAAAATATGAATATTTTAAATATTTTAAAGAATTACTTATTCATCAAAATATCTATTTATCATTACTGTGCTTTTCAATCTTTTATTCATTATGCTTTGTTTGAAAAAGAAAAGATTTCCCATTTTTCCAAGCCTGAGCAGGAATCTCTCAAGGCTTAGACAGAAAGACATGTTCTAAAAGCACACTAAGACTTGGCTACTGTCAAAAGCAGAAAGTTAGCCATCCTAGCCTTAACAAATGTCACAGTCTAGAAGAATCAGTTTCACATTTAAAGGTACAACTTTTAAAAGAGATATTAAGAGTCATTTGAAACAGCTTAAATTTAATTTTTTGACCCACACCATTATTTGAAAGAAGAAATTGAGTGTCATGTTCAACTGTCCTAAAATAAAGTATGCTTCTTTTTTGGGGAAAAAAAATTAATTTACTTTTGGTCTTCCATTCCTTCCACCCTCACTTTGAATCATTTCTATTCTAAAAGTATTTACACATATTAACTTTTACTGTGGTTTTTGCTACCATCACAATTTTTTTAATATTAAAAATTTATATCACATTTTATATAATTCTGTAAACTTACAGTCTAAAGTACTTTACATAGAGAACATTACCTTCTTGCTGTTAATATGGGGTTGTTTTTTTCCCATACATAGCATTTTGTTTAAACAGCAGTATTAAAGTAGTAGTTTCTTTTCAGGTGCAGCACTTAGAAAAAAATAGGCTATAAAAAGTAAATGATTTTGTTGAGAGTTTCAGTTCCCTGGGAATTCTCTAGAAAGATTATTTGTCTTATCTTTTGCACTGCACGTTACCCTGATAAACCCAAAAAGAACCAAAGGGTAGGTGTAATCATATGAGATGAAAGAAAAGACCCTTAGTACAGATAATCATGATCTTGTTTAAGCAAAAGACGTCTCTTATGAAAGGTAAAGAAATTAAAATAGATCTATACATTTCTAACAAAGCTTTGGCTGGTGGTGGGGCACTGTTTCTTGCAAACTTGTTCCTTTAATTATAAGAGTATGGAAGAAACTATAAAAATTAATTTGTATTTTAATTTCCTCTCCAACTACTAGTGGCACTTCAAATATTCTTATGAGGAATGCTAGATTGCATCCTGATACAGTAAACCTCTAAGAGGCACCTAATTTAAGAAACAGATTATGTTAAAATAGTCCCTAAAATTGTACATTAAAAAAAACAAAACAGGAATACCTGGGCCCCTTATAAAAAGCCTTGATGGCACAACAGTTAACTGCTTTTCTGTTAACCAAAAGGTTAGTAATTGGAACACACCAACTGCTCCTTAGGAGAAAGATGTCATAGTCTGTGCCCATTAAAGTTACAGTCTTGGAAATATTATGAGGCCATTCAAATTTGTCTTACAGGATCACTGGGAGTTGGCATCAACTGGAAAACAAAACAGATTTTGCTTTCTGAATCTCTTTAAAATGCCAGGACGGGTATCACATTTATGGCCTCCATCAAGCCTGCATTTTTAGACCTTTAAAAAGAAAATACTAAACAAATAAACCAAAATCCCCAAAGCAAAACAAAACCAAAAAACTTGCTAAAAATACCACAAGTGGTTCAATTATGATCATTCATGATTTTCAGGACCACAATTCTATTAAGGATACTGAAACCTTTTTTAGCTATTTCACTTCATTTAATCAATCTTATTTTTAGTGACTAGTTAGCCATTTTGACTGAATCTTCCTGTTAATTTAGTAATTTTTCACATGCTTTTTGTACCAACAATTGTTAAGTTGGAGAAAATATATAGGTGGCTGAATTCAATAAGCTCATAGTTTTATATAACTTTTAATTCTAAAATGGCTGAGTTACTGATTTGGGTATGACATGCAGCTGGTAAGGAAGGGACAACTATTTATTATTCACCTTCGAATTAGTGGTGTCTGCTCTTCATTAATTCTGAAATTGATTACTTTCTCTTTGAAACGTACTTATTTTGCTAGGAGCCTTGGAACTGGTTACTTCATTGTTTCTCAGCCTCCACACTGCTGACATTTTGGGTAAGACAATTTGTTTTAGGAGGCTATTGTTATATACTGTAGTATGTTTGAAAGCAACTATCCCTGACCTCGACCCACCAAATGCCAATAGCAATAAAAAATGTCTCCAGGTATTGTCAAATGGCAAGCAAAACAGTCTTCTTCCTCCTCCACTCATATTAAAAATCACCATTCTAATGTGTTTTGGAGATGCTTTTTTATTCTGTGATACCTAGGACAAGGTTTCCATTCTATGGCACTAGTTTTAAAACATGGCACCTCTGACCGTTTATTTCTGAAAGAGTTTATCTATGGAAGAGAAGGGTAGAAATTTCTTTTTAAAAAAAGCAAATGGAGCTTTAGGGGGTTGGTATATACAGAGCACAACAGAGAAGCTAGTCCTCATAATTCTGATTATGTCTCCTTTCCCTTAATTTCTGAATTTCCTGCCCTCTCAAAGAACATAGTTTAAAAACTATAAAATTCAGTTTTTTTCTATTTCTATCAACTGGCAAATGTGGTTTCTTCTATTGTTCACAACATTTAATAAGAGCAATCTCTTTTTTTCACTTTGCTCTATTGATTTCTAATAACTGCTCTGAAATAAAACAGCAGGTTTTCCTCTTCTTTTTTTAAAGCCGAAAATCTTTCCTCAAGGTTTACAGATTTCAGTAACATGGATTTAGTATAGTTTATTTGCTTATTATATAGGTTACCATAAACAATTAAAGTACCTTTTGGACATTCATATTTACTCTCAATATTCCCAATGAGTGAAAAGCTTGGTAGACAAAGGCTAGAACATAAATACACACATAAGAATCTATATTCTTTGAATACCTACCATAAATACAAGTTTAGGATTTAACCCCCCAAATTGAGGAACTATATTAAATATCAACACTGGAAGTTAAAAATTATACATAATTATTTTTTGTTTTCCATTTCTCTCCCATTACCACAGATATGTCAATGATACAGGGAAAGACTCTATAATATTTAGGTATACCAAATTATTTGCTTTCATTAAAAAGAGTAACTATATACTAAAGTGCTTTAGGCCTCTGAACCGTACCAGTACATTATTTTTTTTAAAAAGTTTCAAGTTCTTATGGGGGGGGAAAAAGACTATAAAAAAATTTAATTACTATTATTATGAAACAACTGAAGCATGAACCAAGAGAAATAATGTCTCTCTTATGTTTTTTCTTCCCCATCTCTCTTTTTTTTATAAAAAAGAAAAGTGCAATCAGAGAGAAGGTGAATGAATCAATAAGTAGCTAGGGAGAGGCACAAGAAAGGTTATTGGCTGCTAGTGATAATGTGCAAATATGTGTCTCAAGAGTTCATCAGCTGAGGGTCTCAGTTTAGCCTCCACAAAAATTTGTTTGAGGAAATCTCGAGTATAGTCTGAGACATGGGGTGGAAGCTTTGGGTTTGTTGGCTGGGTAGCAATTTTAAAGATGGCAGCCATAGCTTCAAATTCAGCCCACGGAGGTTTTTCAGTTAGCATTTCTACCACAGTGCAGCCTACACTCCTGTAAAAAAAGAAAACATTACACAACAATAAAATAAAAGTAAAATGCAAACACACTTAAACATTATTTAATTTAAAATTTAAGGTTTTATTAAAAGCTTTTAATTATAAAAAACTGTAATTTAAAAAAATCAATGAAAATAACCCCAAATTTAATGTCTATCATTTAATGTAAATGGTTACACAAATAACAGAATATTTTAGAATTCTTACTTCATGTAATTCTCTAAATCTACCTTTTTTGCCTTTCTCTCATGAAGAACACAGCATTGAAAAGCCTTTGTTTGCCTTCAAGTGCCTAAAATGACCATCTAATAAAATTTATTTTATGGTAAGAAGCAGGAAATTCTAATTTTATGTTGTAACTTATAATTTTAGGAAATTAAAAATTAATGAATTATAAGAGACTAATAACATGAAACTAGTTTCAATTAATATAAATATTAGTGAAGGTCTGCTTACAGCTAATCCTAAAGAAAAGAAAGATTCCAGACTTTAAATAGTTAATTTTAAACAGTATAAAAATTAAAAAGTTACTCCTTGTAATTCTGAAACTCTATTTCAAAACTGTTGCTGTTATGTGCTGTTGAGTCGCTTGTGACTAATAGCAACCCTATGTACAACAGTTCTGAACTGTGCTCTATTTTGAGCAAACCTCATTGTCCCTGACACACTTGCCTCCATTACCCCCAGTCACTGACTTAATCCATCTCATCCGAGGTCTTCCTCACTTGTGCTGTCCCTTCACCCTTCCAAGCATGATGTCCTTGTCCAAGGACTGGTCTTTCCTTGCAAAATGCCCAAAGTATTTCAGATGGAGCTTCAAAATCTTTGCCTCCAAGGAGCAGCTTGGATTCACCATTTCTAGGATGAACCTGTTTGTTCTCCTAGAAGTCATGGTATATTCAATACTCTTCTTCACACCACAATTCAAAGGCATTAATTCTTCTATCATCCTTGACCATTGTCCAGCTTTCTGATGCAAGTACGTTCTGATGCAAGTACTTGTGAAGACCAGTGCCTGGATCGGGTGCACCTTCTCTAGAGTGACATAATTGCTCTTCAGCACTATAGACAGGTCCCTGACTGCAGATTTTCAAAATGCAATTTGTCATTTGATTTCACAGCTGCTGGTAACAAAAATGTTGACTGTGGAGCCAGGCAAGCTGAAGCTGTTAACAATCTCAATCTCTTCATCATCTATCACGATGCTCCCAATTGGCCAAGTGGTGAGAATCTCTATTTATGTGATGTTGAGCTTCAAGCCATATTGATCTTCAGCCCTTGATCTTCCACAGCAAATGCTTCAGGTCCTCCTGAGTACTGGCAAGCAAGTTGTGTCATACACAAGTTACATTAGTCTTTCTCCAATCTTGATGCCACATTCCTCCTCATAGAGCCCAGCCTCCTGGATGTTTTCTCCTGCTTATAGATTGAAAAGGCATGGAGATGCATCCCTGGCATACACCTTTCTTGATTTTCAATCATGCAGTATTTCCTTATTCTGTGCTTATGATTGCCTCCTGGTCCAAGTATAGGTTTTGCACAAGCACAATCAAGTGTTCTGAGATTCCCGTTCTTCTCAGAGTTAGCCAGTTTGTTGTGATCCACATAGTCAAATGCTTTTGCATAGTTAATGAAACACACACATTCCTCTGGTACTCTCTGCTTTCAGAAGCCAACCAAGATCCATCTAACATTTGCTATAATATCCGTAGTGCCATGGCCTCTTCTAAACCCAGTTTGTATTTCTGGTAGTTCTGTATTGATGTAGTGCTACAGCCGTTTTTTGCAAAATCTTCAGAAGGATTTTGCTTGTGAGTGATATTAATGATATTGTTCAATAATTTATGCACTCTGTTGGGTCACCTTTCCTTGGAATGGGAACAATATGGATCTCTTCTAGTCAGTTGGTCAGGTGGTTGTCTCTAGATTTCTTGGCACACTTGGTGAGTACGTCCAGGACAGCAACTGTTTGTTGAAATATGTCAATTTGTATGCTGTCAATTCCTGGGGCCTTATTTTTGCCAATTCCTTAAGAACAGCTTGCACTTTCTCCATCACCACAGGCTCTTGATCATACATTGTTTTATGAAATTCTTCTGTGTCAGACATTTCTTTTTGGTACAGTAACTCTGATACTCCTTCCATCTTCTTTTTTTTTTTTAATTAGTTTTAATGACACTTTACAGAAACTTAGGGTTTCCAGTCATTCATTGTTGCACTTTTCTCCCTGCCCCCCCTGCCCCCCCAATTCACCTTTTTTCTTGATGAGTAAAAGAAAAAACTCTTTCATTGCTATGCAATCCCTTCGCCTAAGCCCACTGCACTGTGCAGCCTTCATTCTGGACTCCTATCATGACAATAATACCTAATCATATATCCCTTTTAAACAGTTATCTCCCTCATCTGTTGCAATGCAGTATACATCATTCCTCCTCTTCTTTTCTGTCTTCCCTCAACCTCAATGTCAGTCCAATTTTACAATAGTGGTCTTATGCAATACTTGTCCTTTTATGACTGAGATATTTCACTCAGCATAATGTCCACTAGGGCCATCCACTTAGCATATTATTTCATGGGTTCCTTATTTTTCAGTGCTGCATAGTATTCCATTGTGTGAATATACCAGAGCTTCAATGCAATCCCAATACAAATACCAATTCCATTCTTCCATCTTATTTTAATGTTTCCTGGATCATTTAATATTTTGCCCACAGCATCCTTAAGTACTGCAACTTGTGACTTGAATTTGTTCTTCAGTTCCTTCAGTTTAAGAAATGCCAAGCAAGTTAGGCCCTTTTGATTTTCTGACTCTAGACCTTTGTACATTATAATACTTTGCTTTGTCTTCCCAAGCTGCCTTTTGAAATCTTCTGTTCAGTTCCTTAACTTCTTGATTTCCTCCCTTTGCTTGTAGAGTAATGTTCAGAGTCTAGTCTGACATCCATCTTGGTCTTTTCTTCTTCCTCTGTCTTTTGTATTCTTCATGGATGACATTCTTGATATTGTCCCATAGCTCATCTGGTCTTTGTTTCTTATTGTTCAAGGCCTCAAACATGTCCTGAGATGGTTTTGAAATTCAGTGGGATAGACTTAAGATCAAATTTTAGTTCCTGTGGATTTTATTTAACCTTCTTTAGTTTTAGTTTGAACTTGTATATGAGTAGTTAATGGTTTTTTCCACAATCAACACCTGATCTAGTTTTCACTGCTGATATTGAACTTCTCCAGTGATTTTTCCACAGATGTAATCAATCTGATTCCTATGCATACCATCAGGTAAAATCCATGTATATAGATTCTGTTTATGTTTCTTATAAAAGGTATTTGCAATAAATAAATCACTGATTGTACACAATTCTATTATTCTATCCCGACCCTCATTTCAGTCACCAAGTCCATGTTTTCTGACTATGGATCCTTCTTCCCTGTTCCCAATTTTTGCATTCCAGTCACCTATAATCATTATGCATCTTGATTGCATATTTGAGCGATTCCTGACTGTAAAAAGTTGGCAGAAATCTTCTATTTCCTCCTCTTTGGCTGTTAGGAGAGAGAGAGAGAGTGTGTGTGTGTGTGTGTGTGTGTGTGTATGAATGATAATGGTATTTGCTGCACTTCCTTGTATGCATATAGACATTATCCTGTTGCACACAACATTGTATTTCAAGTTGGATCTAGAAAGGACTTTTTTAACTAAGAAAGCAACCCCGTTTTTCTCATGTTTTCATCTCTGGCATAGTATGGCAGTCTGATTTGAAATGTCTCATGCCAGTCCATCTCATTTCACCAATACCTAGCATGTGTTCCATTTCTTTCTTAATAATGTCCAATTTTTCTACATTCATGCTTCTCAAAAGTACAGAAGTTTAAAGTTGGATCATTAACTTGTATCTTGGGTATAGATAATTAAGAAAGTAGGTAACTTTCAAGCAATACAGCATTAAAACTTACCAGATATCTGCTTTTCTGCCATAGCCTTCTCCACTGATGACTTCAGGGCTCATCCAATATGGTGTGCCTGTAACAGACTTCATTCCTGTCCCTGAGAGACAGATGGTCTGAAGACGTTTGCTGGCCCCAAAATCTCCTAACTTGACATTGCCTGCTGAATCTCGCAGAATATTTGCACCTGAAAATATTATTTTGTTATTTTTGTTGGAAATTTAGAATATACTGTAAAAGAACAATGGTAGATACTTACTCAGTGAACTCTTAAAAATATCTATAAAACAAATCTGCTTTACCTAAATTCTCCTGAGAAATATCTTGCATAATTCCAGACACACAGTTAGTGCTCATCAATTCTTTGTTGTATGATCATTATCTGTTTCAAGTCAGCTGTGCATGTTTTAGGATTTTAAAAAGTTCCCCTGAGAAAAGACTGTAGCAGAAGGGAGGTAAAGATGAAAAGGAGACAAGGGAAAAAGGGAAAGGACAAGGAAGCAGCTCAAAGACAGTGAAAGCATTACAAGACTCTGGACACCCAGTTTCATCATAAATCTGAAAGCCTATAGCTGAAGTCTATTTCCCTAAGAAGCCAGCTTCTTCTCAGGAAATTCCTGAGGTGCTCTAATTACTGTACCTCCAGCATTATTTTCTCCTGGATATTATTTAAATATTAGTTACCTGACACTTTAAACTTTTTACCCCCACAACCCCCATAGTTTTAGGACATTTTAATTTGTCCCAAAGTCACAAAGGTAAAATTCTGAATCAAATATTCTACTTTCCTTTACACCTGCTAATGCAAAAACTATTAGTAGGACAAATAGTTTTGTACATGGTCTGAAACTTAATATAAATTCAAAACTTACAGATAAGGGATCTATCACTCATCTCTCAAAAAGTTTATATGAATATGCAGTCAAAACCAATAGGGGGTCAACCTTGAAATGTTATCTGAAGGGCCTTCTAAGCCAACCAACCAGAGCTGTCTACTGCCTTAGAATGTCCTCAGAAGGCTCTTTCATGATCCAGTAATAGAGGTAAAACCTCAGTGCTTTCCTTCAAAGGAAAGAGTTAAAGAGGAAGAGAAGAACTTTTCAAACTTCATCTTCTTTCCTTGTAGTTTGTGGTTGCCTTCTCTTCGGCCTCCACTAAAGCCTCCCTGGCCTAAGCCTCCAGATCCACCTTGGCTACCAAAGCTTTCCCAGCCTCCTCCTCTGTTGCTGAAGCCACCTTTATCCTCAGGCGTGGACCCATCCAAGGCCATTTTCCCCCATCAATTTTACCATCTTCCATGATCTCCTTGGCAACTTTTGTGTCTTCCTCACTGCTGAAGTCTACAAAACCACACCTTTTAGAGGAACTGATTTCCAGGCTGATGACTCTCCTGGCATGAACTGACCAGTCAAGGTCTCTTCAGTGGTGTCTTCAGACAGACCTCTGACAAAGTTTTGGCTGGCTGCCTTTGACCATTAGGGGATCCCTTGGATCCTTGCAACTCCAACCTTTCTGCATTACCTTCAGGTTATAAGAATTTAAAGCTTTTTAGCATCTTCAAATGAAGTAAATTCTATAAATGCACACCCTTTATATTTGCCACTTTGGTTCTGGGGCACCTTGATAGCAGTTCACTTCTCAAATACTTCCTGAAGAGTTTCTTCACTTGCATTGTAGAGTGTCTGCCCCGGCCTAGTTTTGACTATTGATAATGAACTTCTCCAACAATTCCTTCCACAGATATAGTCAATCTAATTCCTATGCAGCCTACCAAGTGAGGTATATGTGTAAAGTCACCATTTGTGTCTTCTAAAAGAGGTATTTACAATGGATAAAGTGATAAAATAAAAAAACCAAAAAAACCAAAAAACAAAACACTAGAGGTAGAGAGGTCAAAATAAAGAAAAGAAATGCAGATGTTAAGGTGCTTATTTTAGTTACTTTTTTTCCAAAAAGAAATTCATGAAGGAAAAAGCAAATTATTATAACAAAATGTGCAGACAGATGAAGAAAATCAAAGACAAGGACACACTTAGTATTTATCAAATTAAAAGAATTGAATAATAAATTCAAGCCTCAAGTTGCAATACTGAATGAAGGGCTCTATGGGCAAAATATTGAATGATGCAGTAAGCATTAGAAGAAGATGGAAGGAATACAAAGAGGAACTGTAACAAAAAGAATTGATCAACACTAAACCATTTTATAAAGTATATAACCAATAACCAATGGTAATAAGAAAGACACTTGTTCCACTGAAGGGACTAGCAAAAATCTAAGTCCCCAGGAATAGATAAAATACTAATTGTTTCAAGAAATAAATGCAGCTTTGCACATTGCACATGCTAACTAGTCTCTCCAACAAACATGGAAGACAGCTACCTGGACAACTAACTGGAAGAGATCCATATCTGCAACCATACCAAAAAAAGATGATCAAACAGACTATAGAAATTAACAAAGAATGTTGTTATTATGACATGCAAGTAAAATCTTGTTGAAGGTTATTTTAAAAAGGATGGAACAGGACATCAACAAGGAACTACCAGAAAAACATTTATTCGTAGTTTATTAGTTGTGAAAAGGTATTTGACTTTCTGGATTACTACAAATTATGGATAACACCGAGGAGCATCTCAAAACACCTAACTCTGCTCAAGAGAAAACAAGAATGTTGACCAAGAAGCAGCTATCCAAACAGAACAAGGGAACACTGTATGATTCAAAATCAAGAAAGGTATACATCAGGCTCATTTTTCTTTTCATACCTACTCAATCTGTTCTTGGTCTTTTCTTCTTCCCCCCCTGTCTTTGTAATGACCCTTTGCATTGTTCATAAATGATATTCTTGGTGTCTTCCCACAGCTCATCTGGTTTCACTCATTAGTGATGTTTTTGAAATTCAAGTAGGATAGACTCAAGGTCAAATTTTGGTTCCTGTGAATTTAATTTTCGTTAGTTTCAGCTTGAACTTGCATATGAGTAGCTGGTGGTCTGTTCTACAATCAGCTCTTGGACTGTTTTCATAGCTGAAAGTGAGCTTCACCAGGCTGGCTTTAGAAGAGGCTGTGGTACTAGGGATATTATAGCTAATGTTAGATGGATCTTGGTGGAAAGGAGAGAACACCAGAGGAATGTCTATGTTTCATTGACTATGCAAAGGCATTTGATTGTGTGGGTCAAAATAATCTGTGGCTAACTCTGAGAAGAATAGGAAGGAATCCCAGAACACTTGATCGTGAGGCCTTGAACACCAATAATTGAAGACCATATGAGTTGTGGGAGGATAGCAAGAGTATCATCCAGGAAGAGTGCAAAGCGACATTACAAAGACCAAAATGGATGTCAGAAGAGACTCTGAATATTGTACTAAAGCATTGAGAAGCCAAAGCACAGGGAAGAATTCAAGATATTAAAGAGCTGAACAGAAGATCTCAAAAGGCAGCACGGGAAGACAAAGTAAAATACTACAATAAAATGTGCAAGGGGCTGGAGTCAGGAAATCAAAAGGGCCAGACTTACTCAGCATTTCTTAAACTCAAGGAACTGAAGAACAAATTCAAACCTCGAGTTGTTATACTTAAGCATGCTTTGGGCAGAATATTAAATGATCCAGGAAGTATTAAAGGAAGATGGAAAGAGTATACAGAGTCACTGTACCGAAAGGAACTGGCAGACACAGAAGAATTTCATGAAACAACATATGAGCAAGAGCTTATAGTGATGAAGTAAGTTCAAGCTGCTTTGAAGAAATTGGCAAAAAAATAAGGCCCCAGGAATTGATAGTATACCAATTGACATATTTCAGCTAACAGATGCTGCCCTGGACCTGCTCACCAAGTTGTGTCAAGAAATCTGGAGAACAACCATTTGGTTAACTAACTGGAAGAGATCTATATTTGTTCCCATTCCAAAGAAAGGTGACCCAACAGAGTGTGGAAACTATAGAACAATATCATCGATACCACATGCAAGCAAGATTCTGCTGAAGATTATCCAAAAATGACTGGAACAGCACATTAACAGAGAACTGCCTGAAGTACAGGCTGGCTTTAGAAGGTGTCATGGCACTAAGGATATTGTAGCTAACGGTAGATGTATCTTGGCTGAAAGCAGGGAGTACCAGAGGAATGTCTATTTATGTTTCATTGATTATGCAAAGGTGTTTGTGTGGATCATAACAAACAGTGGCTGACTATGAGAAGAATGAGAATCCCAGAACACTTGATAGTGCTTATGTGAAACCTATACTTGGACCAGGAGGCAGTCTTCAGAACAGAGCAAGGAAACACTGCATGGTTCAAAACTGTGAAGGGTGTACGCAGGGATCTGTCTTATCTCCGTACCTTTTCAACCTATATGCAGAACAGACTAGCCAGGAGTTGGGCTGTATGAACAAAAGTGTGGCAATCAGAATTGGTGGAAGATTCATCAACAATCTGCGTTATGCAAATGACACAACCCTGCTTGCTAAAACTGAGGAGGACCTGAAGCACTTGCTGTAGAAGGTCAAGGACTTCAGGCTTCAATATGGATTGATGCTCAATATCAAGACAAAGATTCTCACCACTGGGCCAATTGGCAGCATCAGGATGGATGATGAAGAGATTAAGATTGTTAACAGCTTTAGTTTGTTTGGCTTCACAGTCAACACTCTTAGCACCAGCAGCCAGGAAATGAAAAGATATGTTGGGAAATTTGGCTGCTTAAAGTTGACCTCTCGAAAGTACTGGAGGAATGGTGTCACTCTGAAGACTAAGGTGTGCCTGATACAGGCCATGGTCTTTGCAATCACTTGCTAAGCATCAGAGGTGGATAATGACTGGGGAGGACAGAGGAAAATTGATGCCTTTGAGCTGTCGAGTTGGAGAAGAGTATTGGATATATCATGGACTGCTAAGAGAATGAACAGGCTCATCCTGGAAAGGGTTAAACCAGGCTGTTCCTTTGAGGCAAAGATTCTGAAGCTTTGTCTGACAAAATCTGGACATGTTGCAAAGAGGGACCAATCCTTGAAGGATGTCATGCTTGGGAGGGTGTAGGGACAGCATGGGAGAGGAAGACCCTCCATGAGGTAGACTGATTTAGTGACTGGGGTAATGGGTGTAGGTGTGTCGGAGACAGTGAGATTGGCACAGGATAGAGCAAGATTTAGGGTTGTATACACAGGGTCACTATGAGTTGCAG